CATTCTAAAAATCATACAAGGCAATTAAACAAAAAACACACAAGAAATTCCTATATTCTTTTTAACTTAGAAAAATGAATGGTATGTATCTAACACACTGAATATTCTTTGTTTTGTTATTCTAACCAAGAAGTCCAGGTGAGTTAATATTGTTTGGCTTCCTTTATCCTTTTTTCTACAGTTGACCATATTCATATTTTTCATTTAAGTAGCCTAAGAAATGTTTGTATAATAGTATTCTTATTACAAAATTTAGTATAATATTATTTTTTCTTCTTCAAAATATACTTGTATTCAATTGTAAAATACCAATATCAGAATAAAATATGCAATATTCTTATAAGCTTAGTGAATAATAGTTAAGGTTACATCAATCCTGTTGGAGGGACATGTGTATACCATTATTTCCTAATTTTAAGTTTGGTCCTCAGTTATTCATCTCTGTACATTAAACTACTAAAAACCCTACACCAAGATTTACACGCTGCATCTCAAAACAGCTCAGTTGTCTTGGAGATATCTATGATTAAAAGAAAAAAACCCTAACACATACATGGAAACTTAAATTGACTCATTTTATAAATAGTATCTGTTGTATCAATAGTATCTTTTGTTTAATTAAAGAAATATTTGAAGCAAGGTGAAAATTATATCTTATTATCAGTATAAGGGGTGGATGCCCTAACCAGATTTTTTTATATGACTGCCATCTCCATAATAACATACCTACACCAAAGAAAAAGAGAAAGAAAGAGAAGGGAAAAATTCAGGGACAAATATGACTAATTACAAGCCCATCATGGACAAGATTTCTTCCTAACCCTCTGTCAGCCAAAAGCTATTGCTAGAACACTTGGGACCAGGTCATTCTGTGTCTAGAATGCACTAACCCAGATCATCTTTACTCTTAAATAAGAGTTCTCACCTAATTCAGATAAGCATGCTGGTTATGTCATTATGCTATAAATAATAATACAACTGTTTGCAAAAAATCATAAAATATAAAACCATACCAATACAAAAAGACCTAGTATATATCTCTTTCTTAATATCAGTTAAATACATTAAAAACATTTGTT